TAAAAAAAAGTAATTAAATATATGCTCAGAAGTTAATAAAAGTTTTCTTAACTTGAACGTTGTATAAGAGGAATATATTTCTTGTCAAATAATTAGTTGATACAATTAGATTTTCAATATATTACTATGTATCGACAATTTTTTTAAAAAAATGTATATTTTGTCTTGTTTAATAATAAAAATTTTTTATAAATATCGATGCTTACTAATTTCTAATTTATTAAAAATTCTATTCTAAAAAGTTTTAAAACATTTATCAACAAAAAATTTCGCTAAAAGTTTTACTAAAAACTATCATTTTAACAAAATGAATAATCTCTATAGAAAAAATAAAAAGGTCTCTAACAAAACAAAAGCAAATTTGGCTTCATCTGTGGCCTCTAGTAACTTATCAAACTCGAGAGCAAATGCTAGTTTTACACGGTTTTTTATCAAGACAATGAAACTGATAATATAACTATATATTGTAAGATTTGTATTCAGGAATTAGACGTTATAGTTGCAGAACTGTATTCCTATGTTAAATCAGGTAATAGTACAGAAAACTTAGTAAAACATTTACTCAAAAAATAAAGTATAAATCTGAAGAATTATAAAAGATATCTCGATGATAATAATGAAGTAAAAATTATAAGTTTTGATAAAATATATATATATTTTTTTATTTTTTATTTATTAATTATTATTTTTTTTTTTAAAGCCAATATTATCAATTAACTCATCTGCTAATTCAATGGATCTTGACCTACCTTCTCTTTCAGCCACAGAACAATGAGAATTAACCAAAATTATAGTTGAGTTCATTGTACACAACGTTCAACTCTTAAATATATTAAAGAATGTATCATTTCATAAACTCCTAAATAGTTTTAAACCACAATACCAGATACTATATGCGAAAACTATTAAAAAATATATTTCTGAAGCCTATGTATGAAGAACAAAACAGCTTAAAGAATTATTATTAAATATTAATACAGTTAATTTAACAACAGACTTATGGACTGTGAAAAGTAATCACGCTATCTTGGTATTACAGTAATATGATTAACTTCGATTTTAGACTTCAGGAGGCATTGCTCTCGAATCATCATATGCTGTATCTATATACAGATCAAAATATTAGTGAGAAATTATTTAAGATTATAGATAAATGGGAATCATAACCGATAATAGGGTGAATATGATAAAAGGTATAAGTTTGTTAAAAGAAAATCATCACCTTGCTAATATTAATTGGCAGTCATGTGTTGCCCATACTCTTCAACTTTCAGTAAAAAAAGAGTTAAAACAAATTAAGCCAATTCACAAATGGCTTCAAAGCCTTTAAGCATTTTTTAGACTTCCAAAGCAAACACAATATTTGCGAGATATACAAATGCAACAGCAAGTAGAAATAGATTCATATAATATGAATCAGAATAATATTGAAGATGAAATTGTAAATCCACTTGAAGTTCTAACTGATTGCAAAACCTGTTAGAACTCAACTTATTTGGTATAGAAAAGAATTTTAACATTGTACCCAGCAATATTTATACTTGCGACCTCATTATGTAATAAGTCAGATGCTGTTTCGAAAAAAAAAAAGTAAAAAACTTCTAAAATTGTGTTTAACTACAGAAGAACAAAAGTATGTATTAGTATTGGGGTTTCAAAATTAGCAAAAAATTGTATATTTTACAAAGGATTTTCCAAATAGTAAATATAAATCGGAAAAATTAAAGATTTTCTGATTTTAATTTTGAAACCTTATTATAGCGATAGTTAATTTATATAATACTTGGTGTAATAGTAACTATTAAATTTTGGAAATTGCAACAGGAGCAACCACAATTAATAATTTTTTTATATATTTTAGAATATTTTTTTTAAAAACTTGGGTAGCTTAATTTTTATAAAATGAGTATAGATTTAACATTTTTGCTTCACCCTATAACATGTTCTTTAAATCTCTGTGAACCCCACAACTTTTTTTTTGCAATCTAATTAGCTGATTTGCTAAAATTAGAGTTATGATTGGTTGATAATCACATGTAATTATCTACAAATTTGAATAGTCGCTTCTGTTAATTGCTATCAGTACAGAAAAATATGACCTAATTCTCTAATTCTGTACTAATGCTAGTCACATCAATAGGTTAATGCTGGTCATTAGTTGTGCCTATAATGCTGTTAGCAATCTTCTAAATTTTTTATAAAACACATGATTTGTAATATACATTAATATGAAATATATATATTTTATATATATTATTTTTTTTATTAATTATTAATTTTTTTTTAAAAAAAGGTTTACAGAACAAATAGTTAATCTTTTAAAGCTATTTGAAGAAATTACAAGACACATTTGTGGATCAAAGTATCCCACTTTGAACCTTGTATATCTCTATATTAGAACTTTAAAAAATAAATTTGCATCTAAAAATGAAAATAGGGAATCATTCGAGGTTTGAATTAATTTAATTTATGGTACAGAAGGTTCAGATACTGGTACTAATTCAAGTCTTAGTAGTGATAATAAAGCTGATATACTATCAGCAGAAAATCGGTAACAATAGCAATATGCGCATCAAAGATTACATCGTAATAAAGGTTGTGTAGACTATAAAAAAAAAAAAAAAAAAAAAAAAAACACTTCTGAAATTAGAAGATTCTAATACTATAAAATATTTAGTACCTGTAAATTGTTCTGGGCTTCTAGAAAAAGCATGGGCTGCTATTTTTTTGTCAATTGATGAATTATGAAATTCATCTAATATAATAGGTTTAAAAGCTTCTATTTTAGACCCTTGAGTACTAAAATTTCTTCTATTTGCTACAGATCAAGAGCAAAAAGAAACTGAAGCCCAAATTCATGCTAAATTATCATTACTTGAAACTCAAGTATATGTTTCAAGTAATCTTGAAGTAGAAAGAAGCCTGGTAACTATTAATGAAGATCTTCAGGATTCTCTAAGTGCTGAGTTGTAGAGATCATTGTCAATACTCAATAATATTACTGAAGATGAATTTACATGGTATATAAAAGAACCACTAGCTTATAAAAATTAAAATTCTTTAAGATAGTGGGAAGATAGACATGTAAACTTTCTACTTCTTAGTCAACTTGCCTGTAAATATTTGTCTATCTCTGCTACATCAGTTCCATCAGAACACTTATTTTCTGATGCAAATATTTATATTTCTGCTAGAAGAACTCATCTTAATCCTAATTTAGTAGATAAAATACTGTTTTTAAAAAGAAATTCAAATTACCATACCATGTTTCCACCAGATAATGAATAATTCATCCTTATTTTTTTTTAACCTGTAAACCTATTCTGAAGAATCAAAACTTTATTTAGCAAAATACATATAGCTTCATAATTTTTTTTATTATATTTATATACGCCTAGTAATATTAATAAAGGAATATTGCTCAGATTAAACAATTCTAAAAATGAATAATAAAAAAGCAAACATAAATCTCTTTATAAATTTAATACAGTATAATGCTATTAATTTATCATTATACTTACTAAACATTTTAAAAAAACACTGATACGATGCTTTACTAGCTATATAACTACAAAGCATACAAATTTTTTAAAAGCTAAACATATAAATTAAATATATTAATCACGAAAGAAATTAATACACATATACCATTGACTAAACACTTTACCTGAAATATCATTTATATCAAAATTCACGATATTCAAATTGTAATTTTTGACAATATTGCTTTATAATAAAAATTTCAAATATTTAGTTATATGAATCTTACTGAAGACAATATATTCTAACAGAAGGTTTGAGTAGTTAGAAATTGCTGCTTCATATTAGTACAAAGGTAATGTTAAACTGTACTGGTACATACGTATGTATGTACATATGTAACAGGTAAGTAGTCTTTTTGTAATATATAACACCAACCAGAATTTGATCCAGATCTTTATAATTAAATCCGGATCTTATAATTAAATCCGGATCTTATAACTAGATCCAGATCTTATTATTAGAATCTGAATCTCATGATTAGAATCTGGATCTTATTATTAGGATCTGGATCTTATAATTAGAATCTGGATCCAGGTATCAACTCTAGTTAATATGCAAATATATTATCAAATCTAGTATAAAGTTTTATAGTTTTAGTAATTAGATACTTTTGGAACCAATCAAGATCATTAGAAGTATCCTGCTTTTGTTTAGATTTTTGTACTTGTTTCTGTTAATATTCTTAATCTTGTTTTTGCTCTTATTCCTGTTTCTGTTTATTTTGGTTTTCATTTATCTGTTGTTGTTGTTGTTGTTTAAGAAATAGTGAGACCAGAATTTGACCTTTTTTTTTAACAGAAAGTTACTAAAATTTGATTAAAGAAACAATAATTGCTTAGTAAAAAGTAAAAGAAACTTTCTGTTTCATTTTAATAAGAGATATAATCATTTTTTAGATAAAGTTAATTAGGGCTATTTATGCAAGAGGCTTAAGTTTTATGTTGGAATATATACAATACATGTTCTATAAATTAAGCAGTTTTTAAAGAGACCAGCTATAGTATAGTCAGATATATGTTTACTCTGATTAGTAAATATACAAAAAGGTTTTAATTCTGCAAAAGATGCAAATATAATAGTATTGCAAATATAAAATAATGGCTATAGGATTAAAATTAGTTTGAAAGTTAAGGAAAAGTATATATAGGTTAGATTGGTAAGGTTTTCTTAAGCTGGTGCTTTTGTGATAAGTGATTTTAGTAGAGTATTACAGTTTTTGGTTAATAGTTTAATAAAAATTATAAAGGTTATAGTTGTAGATTTTCTGATAGCAATGCATTGTGTGTGTGAGATTCTATAATATTTTGAGATAAAACTAGTATGATATTTACTACAATAATATTTACCAAGAGATGTGACAAAAATCTGGTGATTTTTTAGGGGGAGGGGGTAAAAAAAGTTAAAATTATATATAAGAATCTGATTTTTTTTTATATTAAAAGGGGGAAGAAGGATAAACTTTTGATAAAAAATAATCAGCTAATAAATGACACTGTCCCAATAGAGAATTAAAGAGGTATTTGAAAAAAATATTGTTTTTTGATTAGATTACAAGCTTTTGGTTTAAAGGCTATTAGAAGAACTTGAAGTGAGTT